TAAAATTAATTTTTATTGTATCACACATGATACATTAATTTATATAAAATATTTCAACACTATACTTATAACGTTTATACACTGAACACTGTCATTATGAAACAGTTAACAGAAATTTGTTATATAGAATATAATGCAATTATATTTCTGGCTATATGAGTATAACAGTGTGGAAGTTTTATATTTAGTTAAGTAATATAAAAATGATTGTGGCTAAAAGTTACTTCTTATTTTTACAATTTTATTTTTAATATTATAACTGTTATATTTATTTTATTTCTGTTTTTTTTTTTTTTCATATATTTGTTTAAGATAAACATGGTACTAATGAAAATCTTGTATGTATGCATTTGTATTTCGAGCATACTTAAATATGCGGATATTGTTCTATGTTTGTTTCAGAGAATTACTCACAGGCATACATACATGAACAAAATATAATAATATAATCTTTAAAATATCATTATTGTTCTGTTCTTATTGTTCTTATTGCCGTGTGTTATATAAGGTATTTCATTCCATTTATTTTTGTTTTTTTTTGGTTTTTTGTGTTTGCCATTTTGTTTTGTTTTTAATTTAAAAACTTTTACTGTTAATCGCTTCCTATAATAACTTTTCTTTTTGTTGTTTCTTTTATAATTTTTAAGTATGTATATATGTAGTTCTTATTCCGTTATTAGTATTTTTTAACTGTACTTTTTATATTATTATTATTTTTTTACATTAATATTTTTTTTTGTTATTAAATTTTGTAGTTTTCTCTTTTAGTATTAAGTTATTATATTTCTCTTATTATTAATATAATATATACATACATATAAATGTACAATGTACATACATTCATGGCTATTATACAATATTATTATTATTATTATTATTGTTATTACTGAAGTTTTTTAATCAAATATGTCATGTCAGTTTAATTTTTTCTTCTCTTTTCTAATACTTTATAACTCTGTGTCCATCTCATTTCGAAATAATTCTTCACTTCAGATAATATACGAAAACAAGGAAACAAAATCAAAACAATAAAAAAGGTTATTTCTCTTAATATTCTTATACTTTTATAATTTATTTTTCTCTTTTGTTTTAAAAATTTTGTGTGTGTTCTTTCTTCACCCGAACTTTTATACTATAAATTTTTTATAAAATATTTAACATGTACAAATGTATATTTTTGTATAAACAGGGTGTTTTGCAAGGTAAATAATTTCAGGAATGATTCTTTGATTAATTTCCAGGAAAAAATTGTAAGAGCGAGAAGAGTGCAGATATACTCGTTTTCGAGTTACAGCCTATTGAAAAAGACAGTTAACAGATTTTTCTTGTATATAAATAAATGCTTATAACTTCGGAACTATGCAACATAGAGGTACCATAGAGAGCTTGTTTTAAAGGCGATTAATTGCTTTTTAGTTTTGATTTTAAAATTAATTTGATTCGAGTCATAATTTTGAAGATAAAACTCATTAAAATCAGATTTTTTTTTAAGGGGACACAATTTCCTTATTATATCTGAAATTATTTGCCAAATTATGCGAAACACTCTGCCCAATACATACTTATATAAGAGTTAAAAAATATAATAATCTGAATGTACAAAATTTAATATGAATGGGATATAAAAGGACATTAATAACTACAAAAAAAAAAAATACAGTTATTATACTTAAATAATTTAATATAATGTTATTAGTTAAAAGGATATAAAATGAAGCTGAATTGAATTTAAAGTACAATAATATAGAAACAAAACTAAAGTAGAATAAAAATTAAAAACATACAATAATAAATAAAAAAAAACATAAGAACAGTAAGAGGAAATAAAATTAGAAATAATGAAATAACTTTCATAAAAAGGATATATGTACAAATATAATTGGGTAATTTAAAGAATTTTTTTAAATAGATTTTTTTTTATATACAGAGTATTTCAAAAAAAAAATGCTATTGAACAAAATGTATTATATTTATTTTATAATTAATCATTAAAAATAATTTACGTGACAAGAAAATATATTTCAAACAAACACACATACAATATTATGTACCTAATTTACTGTATTGAAACTATAAAATATTGATGAAATGGAATTATTTTTATAATATAAGGTAGATAAACTGAGGTCCTATAATCCTTCTATTAAAATAATAACAACTAATCTGCAACTTTATGTGAATTTAGAATTATTGAAAAAATTTAAAAGTTTTCAACAAAAAATTTCTATAATTTTGTTTCTATAATTAAAATATTACGGTAGGCTCATGACCTATCTAGTAAATTCAATAACATCAGAAACTAGTTCATGGTTATCTACAATATTATACATCAGCCCTATGCTAGTTCCATGAACGAAGTAAAGTAATAAAAAATAATTGAAATATAATTGCAATAATTATTATTTTGTTCTTTTAAGACCTCCAGATATCTTAAAAATTAATCAAAATAATTTTCACTATAAATATTTCATTAAATTTCTATTGGGGACATATTCATCAATCATTATTATTGTCGTTATAATTAGTTCCTCTTTACAAGTGGGATAAAATCTAAGATTTAGATTTCATCTGATGGCAAATAATAGAAACTATTAGACTCTATTAGCCTATTCTCATCAGATTTATTCTCAGATTTTTTAAAAGAAAAAGCGGTATAAGTGGAAAAAGGGGTTAATTTACACTTGCATCCTGACACTTTTTTTCTATTAATAAATTGTAAAAATATTAATTTTTTTGTTATTTAACTCCTTATGTGCACTGTCAATCTCATCTTCTATCAAGTTTCTAGTTATAAGAGTAATCTTAGTTGAAAATATATGAAATTTATTGGTGTTCTATTCGAGCATCTCGATTTTCGTCGTCAAAATGTTAGTTAACCCCTTTACCCATTTGCCTCTTCAATTTTCATAGTAAATTATTCAATTTTAACAGGCTCAGATAAAATCTTTGATTTTGTCGTACATGTAAACAATATCTTACCAATAACATTACAATATTGTCTTTATTCTTAATATTAATATTTTTGTTGGAATAAGGTATTTAAAATGCAACCAATTTCATAATTTTTTGTAAGTATCGCCAGGAGTATTCAATTTAATTTTAGAATTTTAACTAAATTATAGATAAATTGATGGTACAATGGAATTTTAATCAATATAAATCCTGTTTCCTTGTCTACATTTCTTTTATCTAATTTTAATTATACTTTTGAAAAATTTCAATAGTTTTTAAAACCGTATTAATATTAAATTGAGTACTATAGGCTTAAATTGTATACGAAATTGAATATAGTTTTACATTGTACAGAAATTTACAATTAATACACTCACAAAACCTCACAAAACTCACCATGTAATTGCATTTGACAATTTAATCTAAAAATAATAACTATATAGTAATAATAATTTTTAATTGAAATATTTAACTATAGTCTAAAATCGATTTACATAAAAATTTATAAGCGATTGAAATTGAAATAAATTAAAAACGAGAAAAAATAGAGTTAACCGTGTCAACTCTGTGATACCCGTACGAATTTGTTATCCTATGTGCGAATAATTATGTCATAGCTAACTATGGAACAGATTATAACCTTAAGCTGTCATATTACCATATTAATTTATGTAAAATTTCAGTACTGTGTTTTCAATATTTTCTTAAATATGGAAAAACTACTGTTGAAGTTGTATGGCAGCTACCAGAAGGAGCCAAGCAATTTCAACAAATTTTATCAAACAAACTGATCTTACTAATAATATGTTCGATTGTGTGAAATTTCAATACCACAGCTTTTATAATTTCCCAGATATAGTCAAATAAATTTTGAAGTTGTATGGCAGCTACCCGAACCAGTACCCCCATCATATCCAATTTAAACAGGGTTCTGGCACTTAATATAATAAATCATTTGTGAAAATATGACAAACTCATAGCTCAATTAATTTTTGAGTTATCCTTGGGACGGACAGACGGACGGACGGACAGAGAAAGCTAAATCGGCTCAGAATTCAACGCTGATCAAAAACATACACTTGAGTCTATATCTAAGACCGTTATTTCTTAGCGTTACAAACGGTAAGGCAAATTTATTATACCGTTCGAACATACGTTTGTACGGGTATAAAAATTTAAAATAATTTTGTAGGTCGAACTTAATACTATATCGAATATATTTAGCGGATACAACCAATTGTAAAAAACAAACCTTTTTTATTAAATGAAATTAAGTGGAATTCAATTGTTAATAATATGCACGAGACTTATTATTAATTATCAATTTAAAATATTAATTTTAAAATCTAAAATAATTTCGTATATGTAGAAAATTGAGAATTTTAATGGTTGCATACATTTTAATATACAAGTATAAATTGAATTTTATATTGTTGAGAAAGATATACACATACACAACACACACATTATATTACATATACATTTATATAACAATTACAAAATGCATTTTTGCAAAAATATGTAGGTACATTTGTATAACATGTGTGTTAATGTATTATTAATTTATTTGTTAACGTGAAAGTGGAAACAACAAAGTTTTCCTTTTTTCATTCTCCTTAATTTAATACATTTTATAAAATACATATGTACATATATTTGAAAAATATTATAACCTTTTTAAAAATATTACTTCGCATAGCTATATGTATAACACATACGAAATTTGCTATGTACCAAATATTTCTAATATTTTTGTGAAATATCTAACAAATTTGTATGCACAATTCGTACATTTTGTACAATGTATTCCATATAATAATTGCAAAACAATAAACAATTTTTAAAAAATACAAAAATTATTAAAAAAAAAAATAATATTTTTAAATCCTTTTACGTACATGTTATTATATTTACAGTATAATATTATGTATGTAGAAAGTATAGCAAAATATACAAGTCTTATATTGATATTTGCTGTAGCAAAAGAAGTAGACCGAATCAAGGAAATTATAAATGGAAAGAAAAAACCATTGAAAAATTATTTTTACCTCTTGATCATTTATTAACCATGTTAAATTTGCTGCTGGTTTTGAATTTCTCGATGAACAATTTCCACGTACACTTTCACCAATACGATATTTTGGTCTTATATTTGTTATAATCGGTTTATGAGATGGTGTTTCTGAAATAAAGAAAACAAAAAATTAAAACGAAATTATTTATATTGTTATATACACATACATGTATTTGTGATTATAATATTATGTAGTTACATTTGTAATAAATTGTTATAAGATTAATAGAAATCATAATTAGGGATACAACGTGTACTCTCTACTAATGAAATATAACGTTGTTAAAATCTGAAAATGTAAAACCACGTATTTTCAAATTTTATAAAATATGCGATAGCTCTCTCTGACTGAGACCCCTCATCTCTGACTGAGACCCCTCATCTCTGACTGAGACCCCTCAAACATTCTTTATGCAAAATTATTTCTCTTAGCGACAAATTTTGGATATTTCACTTTAATATTCAATAAAAAATTTCGAATTTAAGGTTATCTATTTTGTATTTGTATCCCGATTGAGTTGATTGAGCCGATTCCGACTTAAAAATACATACCAAAATTTGTTTCCGATATTTTAAAAACAAAAACATAGTAGGAATCAAAAACTTTGATTCATTTTAAAACTACTCAAAAGGTCTTCAATCCCAAATTGCAACTCTGACTTGGATCAATAAACATTTAAAATAAATTACAAGTCCGACATCAGAATCCATATAATTGTAACATTTCACAAAAATTTGGCTAAATATTGATGTGCCAATGTACACAAAATTTTTTTTTTTTTTTTTTGGGAATTGAACACTACTGAACTCTTTCCAAACAGTACTCAGGAACTTTCTATTTTTGTTAACTCCTATTTTAAAATTCTTCGAACTTTGATTATTATGAACCCTATGTATTTAAATCTTTTTCATATAGTACAATGTAATGTTTTAAGTAAACTAATTTCTCTACTTTTGCTTCCTAGATTAGTTACATCCCTGATTATATAATTACTTAATAACTATGTTATAACATACAAGTATTATTTATTTTGTACATAAAAATAAAAACATTTTCACATATTATGAAAATATAACATAATAATACTCTTGTATAACAGTTATAAATATATATTTATAATGTGTTACATATTTAAAATATGTATAGTTATAGAATGATATAAATATATATCTTTAGAGTTGGCAATATTATTGTAAGTATATCATTTTACATATATATAAATATAGTAATGGTTATCATTTAATCATAATAAATTATTTTTAATAGGTTATTAAGAGATTTAATGTAGTATTTCCTGTTCTTGTTATTTATTTCTTTTCTCTTTATTTTTTCTATGTTATATTTTTGGAGAGTAGATTTTTGTGTTAATACACTAAACAAATATGAAGATATAATATGTGTATACAGTTAGTATACTAGTATAATCATATATAATTTTCAAATAATAATAATAAAGTATTTATTTTATTTTCATATATTTATAATAAAAATAATATAAAAGGAATAAAATTTATCTATTATAAATTTATTTTATATTCGAAACTATATGTATATATATATATATATATATATATATATACTGACAAACATATTTATATATTTGTGTATTTCCAAAAATATTAAATTATTATAATATTATTATTATTATTATTTAACTTATAAGTTGTATAACAATATCATGTTGATTGTTTTTCTTTTATGTTATATATTGAAATTCCAGAAAAATAAATGTTAATAATTATATATTTGTATAAAATAGTTCTATAATTTGAAGATTAATAATAAATATTATTTCTATTTAATAAAAATAATATAATATTGTGTATTTTTATTGAATATTGAATAAAATTCAAGATAAAAATAAAAACTAATAAAATATAATATTATTTTGTAAATATTGTTGATTAAGTTATATACAAATATAAAATAATTTTAAATGTGTATTTATTTTCATTATTATATGATATCATGTAATAAGTGTATATATGTAAAAGATTATTAAAATCAAGTATTATTTTTATTATCTGCAATAATTATTTAACAGGAATATTGCATTTTGAGTATTAAAATTTTTGTACATAATATTGTATATCAATGATAAATCATATTACTTTAATTTTTTAATTTCATATTAAAGTTGTAAAAAGAATTAAGATTAACAATAATTTAATCAAAATATAATTATTTTATATTTAATAAATTCGGATTGATTCAATAGTTTCCGAAGTAGTACAATTTCTTTAAACATGGGAATATTTTTTTTTTTGTAAAGAAAACATTTCTTTATTTAAATAATTTTCATTTAAGCAATAAACTGTTATACAATATAATATTATGAAATAAAAAAATTGCATACTTTTGGGAGAAACACCAAATATTAAAAGAATTAATGTTAACATAATTTTGCTGAATTCGATATTCAAAAATCCTAAACTCATACAAATTACAAAGCCATAAGAAAAATCATATCAAAAAAATTACGAAATCCATAACCGACGGCATTTTTACAATACATAACCGACAATTACAATACATAATACAATTACAATACATAACCGACGGCAGTATTGCATAAAATTATGAAAATTTCCTTTAAATCTTTATTTAAAATTCTATGAAAAATAAATAATGGACTTTAGCTCATGTACCTAGAAAAATGTTAATTTGGTTGTTAGTTGAGGTTGTAAGTTAATTTTTCCCGATTTGATTTCTCTACAAAGTTTCTCGGTTAATATTATTAAAAACTAGATGTCAAACATAAAACTTTCAGAAATTTCGTAAATTAATTTCTGAGATATGATCAAATGTGTAAAATCGACCCGTATTACAAGTTGTTTTTCCAACCCCTAATATTAAAAAAAAAAATAAATTTACTGATTCATTAGTTTAATATCCGGTTTTTATATATAGTATGTATTAGTGAATTACTTGATTATTTCTCTGTATATGATCAAAAATATAGATTCCTTAAAAAGTTAGAAGTGTCGTTGTAATGTCAGTCGAAGCTAATATATAATATTTCAGGAAAGTCTGCAGATTATTTTCTAAAATACAGTCAAATATATAAAATCATCCCGTAGTAAAGATCCAGTTCCAGAGGCCCGGGCATATTCTATAAATGTGATAAAAATATAAATTTTCGTAAAATTGCGTTCAGCTAAACCGGAGATACTGATCTTCACATAGAGACTAACACACAGACAATTAGACAGGTTAAAAATACGTGTTAAAAATTTGTATTTACGAACATTTTGTAGTTACAATATTTTATTTATAAGCAGTTTTGTAACAGCAGTAACTATTCGATATTTTTTTTACTTTTGCAGAATTTAGAAAATTTTGGTGATTTTGACGTCATAATTTTTTCAAAAATTTCATTTTTAACGGTTTGCATTGGACAAAATTTTTAATGGAGGGAAGCAGTTAAAAATATGCTTGCAGAGAAATAGATTCTTCTGCAAAATGTATTTGGGGTAAGTTAAAAAAATCTCAGTTTCCTATCTTAAAGGATATAGAATTATTGTATAATAAGAATGAAACTAATAAGATAAATAAAGAACACATTTCTTAAGACAAGAACTAGACGTGAAATTTTTAAATAGAAAAACTCATTTGAATTCAAAAAGTATACAAATATACTCTAATCTATATACTAATTCTGACTTTTATTCTTGATTATTATAAATTTCCTTTATTGCAATAAAATTTAATTTTGTATTATACGAGTAGTATGACAAGGTATTTGCTCGTAAAATTAAAATTTGGTAAAAACTTTGTAATTCTCAGCATTTAATTTAACTACTCGTAAACTAATAACATATTTTCATTTAATTTAATTATTTAAAATTTCGAATTATTCAATAAAATTATGAAAATATTTTTCAATATTAATCCTCAATAAAGTTCAGTATTTTATAATTTATTTTACAATATTCAACATATTTTTGTATAAATATTTTTTTTGTTTAATAAATACTTAAATATTTACCATCACAATAATGTTATTATAATTTGACGCGTAGGTTAATAATAATTTGTTCAAATACAATTTTATGTACATACAATTATGACAATAATATTGTGTAAATAATATGTTACACAAACTGTATATAACAACACGCATACTGTTATACGAGTACAATAAATACTCTTGTTATATGCTCGCATACGTATATGGTCATTATAATTGAATAATGTTATAATTAATTGATACTTAATATTAATAATTAGTGAAAGGACTAAAATATTTTCTTTATATTTTTTTTTTGCTTTGTTGGTTTGTTAGAAGTATAATGAATAAAAATTTGTTCTTTTTTTGTTGAATTATGTAATTAATCATTTTTATATAATTTTATTGCAATTTTTATATAAATTGTAAATATGAAAATTAAATACTCGAAAGTATTTAACACTTATTCTTAGTATTATATAAGCAATTTAATTATAAACTCTGCAAATTTTTGAGGAGCCAATATTATTTTAATAAAATAAATTAGCACAGTTAATTGAAGATTGTATACAGACAATTATGTATTACAATTATTGGATATGTTAAAAATTTTTAATCCCTATACGATAAAGATGTATTAAAGATATTTAGTTAGTTACTTAAGTAGGTGAAGAGGGTACCCTCTACGATACCATGCAGTACTAGTAAAATACGCAACCCATAGCATTTCACACTTCTATCAAGACCATTTAGATAGCTCTAGATTCATAGATTGGCGGGGATCAATCACAGGTCACTGCAGTCCTAAAGACCTATTGTAACATACCACCACTTATAAAGCGCCAAGCAGGCCTATAATCCAACTAAATCCCTTGAAAAAAATTCAGCAGATTACCAAACGGGCGCATCCGAAATCTTCTCGAATCCTTCAAGTCGATATCCCCACAAAGATGTTCAAATATTCAAGGTCTTCAATAAAGACTATTTATTTTATTAAATAAATATGTTGTAATAATTTTATTAAATTTATGCCTCTCTATAGCGGTTTTAATTTACATATACATATGAAAATCTCTGTTAATTTTTGTGCTCTTTTATTCATATCGAGATTATTACGACAAATTTACTTACCATTTCAGAATTTCCCAATCAAAAATT